TCCATTTTTGTATCGAAGAGATTTTCAGAGAAATGTAATTTTGTTTATTGTGATGATGATGGTCGCGTATTAGAATGTGAATTTTCTTGTAAAGGTGTTGATTTTTCCGTCTTGTGTATTTATGCCCCAAATAATATCAAGGACAGAAAAGTGTTTTTTGAATCTTTATCAAAAAGGATCAAGTCAAATGAAAATTTAGTGCTGTGTGGTGACTTTAATGATGTGATGGACTCCTACATGGATAGATCGAAAAACATGACTTCTTATGGTGACCAATCTCAACTCTTAAATGACTTCGTGTCATCAAATTCTCTTTTTGATATCTGGAGAAGAAAAAATCCAGATAAAAATGTTTTTTCACGACAGCAGTTAGTTATGGGTGAACTCAAACAATCTAGAATTGATTATATTTTTGTGACATCATCTTTTCTTTTATGAACTTTGTATTGTTTCATATCTCATACTAGTGCCAGTGATCATAGCTATGTGTCTTTAATTCTAGATTTTGATGGTCTTGAGCGTGGTCCAGGTATGTGGATTCTAAATAACAGCTATTTAAGTAACCCGGGGTATAATGTGATTATTAAGGATGTAATTCAAAAATCTCTTGAGTGTCCTTTGCGAAAAGATGAACCCTTAGTTTGGTGGGACAATTTGAAGTTTCGCTTGAAGCAAAATAGCGTATCATTTTCTCAAAAGCAAAGGAAATTGATGAAAGAAGAATTTTGGGACATTCAAAATCAACTTAATTTTCATTATAATAGGGCTGCTAAGGATCATAGCTATGATTACGAGCAAATTTTTAAATTGGAAGCGAAGCTTCAGCAGCACGAGAAACTTAAGTGTGATGGAGCCATTTTGCGCTCTAAAGCCTCACTTTACTTGGATTCTGATAAGTGCACCAAGTTTTTTTTAGGATTAGAGAAATTTCATCAGGAATCAAGTAGTATTAAATGTTTAAAACGCACTGATGGAACTACTGTAGAAAAAACTCTTGATCTCATTAATGAAACTGCTACTTTTA